CCGCCTTATCGGTTCATCGCATCGGAAACAAAAAAGCGAAAGAATTTGGAACGATGTTTTTACAATTATTATTTCATTCAGTTGTATACAGTCAGTGTCAGTCGGTAGTGAATAGTGGTGTCTGTTGCGTGGCTCAAACGAAACAAAAAATGGCACATGTTTATGCGGATCGGTTTCCCAATCGAGTGCAACCAACCCCTCGTGCCTTTGTTAATGTAGTACAACGGGTTCGTGAATCAGGTGACTTAAGACCTCACATATGGACAGCATGCCGGTGCTCCAAGACCTCACGATCAAATACAGGTCCGCACTGAAATACTTGTCGGGAGGATACTTTATAAAACAAGGTAATTTTTTTTTTATTTTTACACACATATTTTGGTTCATCTTCCTTCTACAATCATTATCTGAAAATTAATGACTCAACTTCAAAGTCACCCTGTATATGTATTGCAGAAACCATATTGTTGAATACTGTAGTTCTATCAAATACTTAATTGAAAAATCGTTCAATATAATGAAACAATTGAAAGCAAAAGCAAAAATTAGAACAAGTTCTAATTTCGTGAAGAAATCCTCCGAGAACTTCGGGGATTTATTTGACGTCAAATTCCTATTTTACACTTTTGAAATTTGGTCATGGACTCAATTCATGAAGAAATCCGTGGATTTATTGTCAATGTAAAACGAGTATTTGGAAATGATAATAAAATACGTTTTAAACAAGTTGTACCCGCTATAAGATCTGAAAATTATTTTTAAACACCTGAGGATAAGGCAGTTTCCTTGACGTTACAACAATAAGCATAAAATAAAAATGTTTTTTCATGAATCTTAAATTTTCATGGTGCTATTTAAAAAGTCGGAGAATAATTGGCAGAACTACGTGATAAACTGTAGGCAGAACGATTTTTTTTGTTTTAAATCTCAAGGTCATATGTTATCCGCGGCGTGAGAGTACACAACATATTTTTTTTTAATTATGATGTATTGTCACGAACTTGCACAGTTGTATATTATTATAGCGCCAAGTATTGAAATGAACTTACATCAAAAGGCAATGATAAAGGTTAGTGTAATCTATATCAGTTAAGCGACCGCCAAAAATCAGATTGGTCATGAATGTAAATGTTTTACAAGTTTTTAACACTCACATAGAGTATCTTAGTCCGGGATCCCATGTAACAAGTTTATAAAGCTTTAAAATCAATGAAGATTCAGACTTCCAATATAAGGAAGATGCCTGATGTGAATCTTATAAATGATTATTTTGCATCTGTTTTTAACTCAAATGATTTAGCATGCGAAGATAAAATTAAGCACTATTCAAATTCAAAACCACTAATCAAACAAGTGTTAGTTTAAGAACTCTCAATACACATGATGTTTTTGATGCTATTAATAAAATAAAACCTGATGCTCCAGGCGTAGATGGCTTATTTGCTCAAACGATAAAATTATGCCTCTTAACCATTTCTAGTTCCTTGAAGAAGGACCTAGCACTGTTTCTGCACTATCTGTTATAGTTTATATAATCTTCAATTTGAACATCAATCTGGCAACAGTTCTTGTCTTTCTCGATTTTAGTGAGGCATTAGACACCATAAGCCATGATCTGCTTCCAGCCAAGTGTACTTATCTTGGATTTAATAAACTGGCACTACGTTTCCTGGTATCATACGTTAAAGACAGACAGCAACAGGTGGTTCCGGGTACAAGTATTTCATATTTACGGAATGTTCCTTCAGGGGTACCACAAGGTTCAGTCCTAGGGCCCCTCTTGTTCTCAATATATACATTTGATTTGGTCGTCAAAATGAAAAACTCTAGAGTATAACTTGTTATGCTGATGATCACACAATTATTGTTAAGCTTTCCACATGATATTAGAATGGCTGAGGCTACAATTAATATTGATCTTAAGTATTAATAACTGTTCTGCCACTAATAACATGAAACTCAATCCTCAAAAATCAAATGTTTCACTATTTTACAAGTATTTAATATTTTAACAAGTATCAAGTAAAACACATTATTATAGTTTATAATAGTAGATACTTGAATCAGACTTTTTTATATATTTCCAAATATTGGTTGAGTAGATGGGCCAATGGCTAGACTCCGCCATTTGCATAATACTTTTTAATGTTATGATGTGATGTTAATGAAGCAATAAAGACATGTAATATTGTTATTATGTCGTGTCTATTCAGATTTCAATGAATCTGGTGCGTCAGGTTTTTTCTGGGTGCCATGGGACAACGCTAAAGGGTTATCACCAGTACTCTAAGATATACAGGGTGACTTTGAAGTTGAGTCATTAATTTTCAGATAATGATTGTAGAAGGAAGATAAACCAAAATATGTGTGTAAAAATAAAAAAAAATCAAAAAAAATGTTACCTTGTTTTATAAAGTATCCTTCCGACAAGTATTTCAGTGCGGACCTGTATTTGATCGTGCGGTCTTGGAGCACCGGCATGCCCTCCACTGTGAGGTCTTAAGTCACCTGATTCACGAGCCCTTTGTACTACATTAACAAAGGCACGAGGGGTTGGTTGCACTCGATTGGGAAGCCGATCCGCATAAATCCGTGATGCCGCGTAAATAAGAATCATGTCCACAAGTTCAGCATTTTCGTAAACATGTGCCATTTTTGATTTCGTTTGAGCCACGCAACAGACACCACTATTCACTCACGCGTTACCGACTGACACTGACTGTATACAACTGAATAAAATAATTGTAAAAACATCGTTCCAAATTCTTCGAAGTCACCCTGTATATTATAGTGTTATAATATTTGTTAAATGTCGCAAAGCGCAACAAAAAAATATGATTTTAAGGACAAATAATGAAAAAAAAATAATTACTAATTCGTACAACTTTGAGCAGTGGAATAAGATAAAATCATACTTACATACTTTTCAGGCATAATACAAGATTCCACTTACCTGGAACAAAAAAAAATGTTTTAGACAAATCTTAGTTAGTTTAAATGACATGAAAAATTGCTCAAATGTTGAACGAGAAAGTTCAAGACTTAGAATATAATGAAAATATTATAACATCTGAAACTTATCTTGTGGTTGTTTTGTTTTGTCAAAGATCTGTTATATAAATAGAAGATAGACAAGGGAAATAAAATTAGAGAGAGATAAGAGATGACACCAAAAACATGGCGTCCATGAATCAGCTGCTAGCGTCTAAACACGGCTGCTTTCAGTCAGTCAGAATATCCCTCACTCTATTCTGCTTAGTATAAATGTAGCGTTTTATAAATATTTTATGGCAGCTTGACAACACCGCCTCGGCCGCCCGATTTTTTTATATGGAAACAAGTAATAGTCCAAATTCCGACCGCAGTTTTGGATACATCGCGTAGCGATGTGAAATGTTAAAAAATAATCAATCTTACGTATTTTGATGAGAGACAGCAAACTCGGTAAGTTAGCTGTTTGGCATCAAAATACATAAGATATTACTAGTTTTTATCGCATCATATCAGTACGCGATTATGTAACAAAATTTACGATTGGCTTATTGGGTTATTGAGGCCGACCTGGGGATTCTAAAGGCATTCCACGTCTTCCTTAATATAACTATCCTTTGATTCTGTGGTTTTACATGGTGGTCAACAGAAGGTAAAATGACCAATAGAATGAAAATGTGACATGTCATGTAAAATTCTATACAAAGCTAACCATTATAGAAGATCACGACAATATCAAAGGAAAATCTTGACCTTACGTATTTTTTATTGTTCATAATATTCCAAAAATGTCTGTTCATCTCTCGATAAAAAAATAACATCCTGCCATGTTTACAATGAGCATTATCATTGGAGATACGGTAGAGTTATCGCGTTTAAAAATATAGCACTTTGTAAATTGTTTGGTTTGAAATGCAGTGCAAATATGCAGATATTCACACATGCTATGTAATTTGCTAAATTGAATATATAGATAATTTTAAACTTTATAATGCTTGATGACGTCCTTCACTCTAAATGTTAGTAGAACCAGCGCAGCGGCCACATTTATTTTGCAGCGCTTTTCACAATTTTTTGAGCGTGTTAACAAACTGGAATTTGGGATGATAAAATTTATACATGAATCCTATATTCTAACGTAAAAATTATAGTTAAAAATTTCAAAATGTCGGCTTAGCTCGGATTAAATTGAATAGAGAATTAAGAAGCTTCTGAATTAAATGATAAAAATCCTATGTATAACGTGCTCATAATTCGTAATAACTTTGCAATTGTTGGTGTTGCGTACACGGCGCGATGCTACATCGTCGTGGAGGCCAGTGCCGATTGTGCAATGGGTAACAAAGTCCAACTGGTCTGAGCTGGTGTCGTCACTAAAACACCGCTTTAGGAGTAATATTTGTAGGTTAGAAGTTGTATACGGTACATGGTTGTAAATTCTTGCATATTTGTTGTCTGTAAAAGATATACTATTAAGAAGGTTCTGATGTCTATCATACTATGCACTGT